TGGTCACCCTTGGAGCCTTAATGATCACCCACACCCTACACAGCTCCAGCGGCACAGCTGCCATTTCCTGAGTGCCCTCTCCCGCCAGCCAGCTGGTCAGTGTGGCATCCACATCCACATCCACACCTTCTGCCTTCCTGCGCGCCGTGGCTCACCGATCTGCTCGCTGACTGTGCCTCTGCACCTCGTTACTTCACTTCCTTCTCTACCCAGCGTGGTTTCCATGATCCACATCTCACACACGCCTTTCCCAAATCCCAGAATGCCTGCTCCTTCATTCTTCCACTGCACACATCTCAGATACCTGCGCTTTTGACAGGTTCAGCCTCCAGCTTCCTCTGCATGGACACCCAGCAGCTGAGGCTGCGGGAGAATTTCCCACATTCAAGCATCAGCAGTGACGCTTGGCAGCGTCGAGTGGATCATCAGCACTGCGGGGCCTTCCTGCCAGGTTGCTCTGGTCTCTCCCACTGCCCTTTTAGACTGTCTCTACCTCTCTCAAGCCTCCCACCCCTCCCCTTCCTCCTCACTTTTAAAAATGAGTGACGTTCCCCCAGCTTTGGAGCCAAAACAGAGTTCTGGTAGCATCTCACGTCCCTAATCCTGGACACACACCTGCTGAGGTCGGCGGGCAGACTGTCCCCGCCGACGGCCCTCGGCCCACATGCCCTGACGCCTGGAACCTTGAGCCATGGGTCATCCTTTCTTCCTAATGTGTAATCAGCTGTTCTCCAGCTACAGCCTCCTCCGCTGTGTTTTCACACACTCAAGCACTTGCTTAAACACAGACACGGAGTGTCTCACCTTCGCGGCCGCTGTTGGCCTTTCCTCCACTGGCACCCTGGTCATGCCGACTTCCCTGGAGGTTCCTACAGCTGCCCACCTCTCTGCTTCCCTCTCCTTAGTTTCCACAGATTTGTTTTTTTTTTTTTTAAGACAGGGTCTCAGTCTTGTCGCCGGACTGGAGTACAGTGTCATGATTTCAGGTCACTGCAATCTCAGCCTCCTGGGCTCAGATGATCCTTCCACCGCAGCCTCCCAGGTAGCTGGGACTACAGATGCATGCCACCACACACAGCTCATTTTTGTTTTATAGAGACAGGGTTTCACCATGTTGCCCTTCTTGAGCTCCTAAGCTCAAACAATCTGCCTGACTCAGCCTGCCAGTGTGCTAGGATTACAGGCGTGAGCCACCACGCCCGGCCTTTCCACAAATCTTATTCTCATCTGATTCCAGTCCAACCAGCTCTCAACAAAGCTGCTAATGGCTTTATCTGGAACCTGCCGGATGTTGAGTTCCTCTGCGGGCTGCCTCCTGGCGACGTCTGCTCGCTGACCCTCTGGACAAATACTCACCTGCTTCTGCCACTCTGCACCATCAATATAAATAATAACTAATTCACAGTAATCAGTCATGAAAGAATGAAATGGAAAACACATGCCAAATGCAGGCCCTTGCTTTGTTATCACGGCATGCCGTACACGTAAAGTTCTCTGTCACGTGACTGCAGGAGCATCTCCATTCCTGTGCCTCGTCCTCGGGTATCAGTCACAAGCCACTTGCGGGCTAACGTCAGCCCACAGTGGTCCTTGAAGTCGACAGAAATGAACTACTGAGCCAGAGGGGCCGAGACCTGGGACCCGCCAGCGTTTTCTGTAAAAGGCCATGGAGTGAACGTCGTAGACTTCCTGGCCATGCGGTATCTGTCCAGCTACTGAGCTCTGCCACGCATGCCTAGCTCTTCCGTGGTTGCACAGAACCTTCTCACCGTGCAGGTGCACAGGAGGCGGGCCTCTGGGCTCCTGTGAGCTCTGCCCACCAACTCAGGCAGTAGCGGGTGGGGGGCGTCCACAGGATGTGCACAGATTGCCAGCACCAGGCCCGGCTACTGGAACATCCTCTTCATAGCTTTACTCACATCTACACAGACGCCTTAAGTTCACCCCATCAGTGCAGGGAGACTGGGGCCTTCAAATGCTGTGGCCTGTGCTCTTGGAAGCCTGCAAAGGCCAGCACACCTGACCCTCCTCTGCCTCCCCTCCTGTGCCACCCGTCCTCACCTGCTTCCCCAGCCTCCCCTCATCCTCACCGGCTCGGCCCCTCCTCCACCTCCTGCCTCCAGCCACCTGGTCCTTACTGCATCCCCTCGGGCCCTGCACCCTGCCCTCTGCTCCCTGCCCTCTGCTCCCTGTGCCCCCCCGTGCCTGCTCTCGCCAGGCTTTGCACACATTCTGTCCTCTTCGAGGGTCTCTGCCCCCCTCCTCCTCCCTGATTAACTCCTGCCCGTCCTCACCGTAGAGCATGTCCTGAGGGAAGAGGGCCCCAGCCTCTCTAGCAGGACAGGCCAGAGCCTTAGGCGTAGGGCACCGGGAAGGGAGCAGTTATTAGTTGCCCCTGGATACAGAGTCTGCCTAGATGCATATATAGAACTGGTTCAGACTTGGCACAGTCTCTTTCCCTCTCACTCGTTCACATTTGCAATTCAAAGAGAATATACAGAGCCATTTGTATTATATAAAGTGATTATTGCATTGAATTTAGACTAGAGAAGGCATTTGGAGATCGTTTTAGTAAATTATCTTAACCAATCTAAAAATGTTTCTGAACTGTCAACCAGAACACAGAAATCCTGTGTTACTGGCTGTAGTGTGGACCGTTTGGGGGAACATGGCACCGACTTCATCTTCACCGTTGATCAGTGGTTCTCTGACTGGGTCCAGTGGCTGCGCACCAGCTAGTGAAGAAAACCACAGACTCCAACTGCACAATGTATGCTCTGGTCTCCTCCTTTCCAAAAAAAAAAAAAAAAAAGGCTGCGAGATATATTTTAAGAAATCTGAGTTCTCCTGCTAATATTTGCAGCTCGCTGGTTGGTGCCATGGAGGCCAGTACCCACCGTCAGGCTGTGGCAGGTACAGTGAAAGGAAAAAGTCTGTGAGAGAACGGTGGAAAGTTCACCAGACAGTGAAACACATGCTAGTTGGAGTGACTGAAAAACAGACCACGGACACCACCAAGTGCGGTGGGATGTGCAACCGCAGGACCCCTCGCTGCTGGGGAAGGCAAGGTGGCGCGGCCACTTAGGAGGACAGCTTGGTGACTCCTGCAACACTAAACGCACTCTTACATACAACCCAGCACTCCGGTTACTGCATTCCGCTCCTGGATGTCTCACCCAGTTGTGCCGAATGCTTATATCCACACAAGAATGTGCCCAAAGATGTTGATGCCAGCTTTATCCATAGTTGCCAAAAACTAGAGGCAACCAAGAGGTCCTTCAATAGGTCAGTGGGTAAACAAACTGGTAATCTGGACAGTAGAATGTTCAGCATTTTTAGAAAACGAACTATCAACCCCTGAGAAGACCTGGAGGAAGCTGAGATGTCTGCAGCGCCAGGTCACACGGCTGCTCACTCATAGAGCCTGGCCTGTCTGAAGCTCCGGGCCCAGCACCAGTTCCTTCCCTCACACACAGAGTTTCACTGGGTACGCGCACGCCAGCTCTGGATTGATGTAGAAACAGTTTGGGAATTTTTAACAGCATCGTCCACATTTTTAATGCCTCCCTCCTGCCTGGCACTGTGTTCAGCACTTTCATGTATCTTATTTAATTGTCACATCCGTAAGGTGGGACAGATGACCTCAGCTCTGTAAACTCAGCCATTGCTGAGCCTGCAGTGTGAGTGTGAGGCCACATGTCAGAGCCCCGGAAGACAGAAGCCCCGCCCTCCTGCCTGCGACACAGCGGCCGCCCCCACTGCAGCTGGAATTAGAGCAGGTCGTTAGCTCCTGCCTGAGGAAGGCCAGATAAAGGACTGCAGAACAACCGTAGTGCAAAGCTGACACTCATTTCCCTCCTAGGCGCTTCGTGAGCAGGCCCTGAGTTCTCTGTGTCCGGGCGTGGAGGGCAGGAGGTGTGGAGAGGGAGCAGTGCGTGTGTGAGCTAGTACACAGAAGACGTGTGTGGCAGGCTCTACCACACATTTTTAAAATATGTAAACTCCTAAACTTCTTGTCAGAGAAGTGCTTGGCATGCACACAAAATCATTTAGCTAATTTTTGAGAAACATATTGTTTAATTGTCTGTCTCCCTTGCTAGATCATCCACTAATGAGTGCTCGTTCACTAACCTCCCCGCCAGCCTTGCAGTCTCTGTCAGGCAGGAAGTACTTAAAGCATGTTTACTGACTGGCTGCAGAAATGAGGACATCTACAGTATTCAAAGATAGTGCCCGTTACCTTGAGAAAAGACAGAGTGAGCATCCACTTTTAGCTTCTTAAAAGGTTTAAACATTCCGACCTTATTTTCCCATTCATTTCTCTAACGGCTGTCCTTTCTGCATTGCACAAGGACAAAGATAAACACAGAAGTCTGTACGAATCAGCCAGCGTGGCGGTACCAGCCAGCCCTTCCGTGTTGAAGCCGTAACATTACGCGATGTGAAAGTATGCCGTGCATTGCCACATGGGCCTGGAACATGTTGTGTTCACATAGTTCATTGATTTTTTCATATTGATAAATTAGAATTATGAACATAGAAAGCCACTTATTTTATAGTCACATGCAGAGCTTACAGATACAAATATATATGTCCAACACATAGCATAAAATTTCCTTATTGATTTTAAATTGACAAATCTCAAGACAATCCTGCTAAAAAGGACACCAGTCATATAGATTGAGAGAGATGCGGAGCTTTCCAATAAAAAGCCTCTTCCCGATGCTCTATCAGTTGCTAAATGTTACTGTTTTTATGATTTGATCAGCTCGAACTGTATCTCACGCTTGGCTCTCTTATTGCCTAATTACACGTGCAGCGTTGACAAATGGCATTCCCCTCCGTGCTGCCAGCACACTGACCTTGTCATGATTACTAATGGCTGGCTGGCGCTGCTTCCAGCAAGGTGAGCAGCTGTGGCCAGTGGCTATGCGTTTGGGTCATGGATTCCACCATGCCTTGCATGTGTGTTTGGTCACATGTTCTGCCATGTCTTGCAGAGCTGCAGAAACTGGAGGGCAGCAGTGGACCTGTGCGGACGTCTCCTCACAGCCCACGGCCAGGGCTACGGCAAGAGCGGGCTGCCCACCAGCCACACGACAGATTCACTGCAGGTGAGAACGAACACCTTTCAGGGGCTGTAGTTTAACCTGGCTTATCACAGTTTGGGGACATGGACAGGACCATGGCCTTTCATGCCAGTAACAAAAAGTATATTTTCATATCCTGCTTCTTTATCTCCTAATTATATTGTATATACTATACTGGGGCACTGGAATTCTCACTTTGGCCCATCAGGACGCCTGTGCGCCCCAGAAGCACACTCACAGGTGCCCACACTTAGTCTCATGGTGGGACCAGCATGGCTTTGGGTCAGCAGGCAGGTTCGCCTCACGACTGGCAGCAGCAGCTGGCCTGTGCGGGGATCTGGGGCATGTCTGAGCCCGGTAGGAAACAGTGACAGGAGCAGTTGGTTCTGTCCACCCCAAGGACGGAGGATCCATGTGCCATGGGTTTGCTCGTCCTGGCATATCACTTGCTCTGAAATTTAAAAAAAAAGGAATGCACAAAATAGACTTGTGAACAAAAGGAAACTCATCTGAGAAGAAGGAACAGCTGCAAACGTTGATAAATTCTTACCTTTCCCTGGGGAGTTTTTCAACTGTTCTTCTAGCTTACGTGGGAATCCCCCGGGACTAAACAGATCACCAGATCCTTCAGAACTGTGATGAGCTTTTGAAAGGAGCAGCTCTGGGGAGCCCTGACAGCTTAGCTGTTTCCAGCAAGCTCCTTCTCCTTCTTCCTCTTCCCGCAAGAGCCGACAAGAAGAGCCGCTTTCCCCCATCTCCTGTCCATCCACTGGTTTGCCAAATCCTAGGCTGTTTTTCTGTCATTCCTCTCCAACCCATCACCACCCGCAGTTCAAGCTCTCATTGCAGTGTTGCTTTAGCCTCCTATATGAACTTAGTTCAGGTTTCTTTATTCACATTCATTCCATCAACTACCTCCAAAAAAACTCTCAAAGCACACTTTTGATCATCTCACTTTCCTGCTTGAAAACTGCCCGGCATAGTGGCACATGACTGTAGTCCCAGCTACTGGGGAGACTGAGGCAAGAGGGTCACTTGGGCCCAGGAGTTCTGGGCCGTAGTGCACTTTGCTGATCACGTGTTGGCACTAGCTCAAGACCAATATGGTGACCTCCTGGGAGCCAGGGACCACCAGGCTGCCTAAAGAGGGTGAACCACCCTCCTTTCCAACTAGGTCTGAAACGGAGCTAGTCAAGAGCTGGATAGTTTCCCATTGCCTACCATGCGAAATTTCATCTTCTCGTGTGTGTGTAATGAGAACACTGAAAATCTGTCTTAGCAATTTTTAGTATACGTTGTTTGTAACTGTGGTCACCATGTCTACAATAGATCTCTTGAGCTTATTCCTCCTGTCTCACTGAATTTTGTTTCCTTTGACTAACATCTCTCAAACCTCCGCTGCCCTGCCCTCCTCCCCACCCCCAGCCCCGGCACCCGCCATCTCCTCTGCTTCTGTGAGCCCAGTGTTTTCAGATTCCATGTGTAAGTGAGGCCCCGCGCTGTTTGTCTTTCTGTGCTTGGCTTGTGTCATCTAATGTCATGTCCCCCAGGCTCATCCACATCACAAACAACGGCATTTCCCCCATGAAAGCTGAGTGGTATTCCACTGTGTGTCGTACCACGTTCCTTTATCCATTCATCCCTCAGCGGACACTTGGTGAAATTCACTCTTCTCATCAGTAAAGTCAGATCACATTAGGTTCCCCTTTTAATCCTAAGTCTCTGGCTGTGCAGCTCTCTAATGCAAATTCCCACCATTTTCCTGAAGGTACCCCAGATGCTGCCAGAGCACGCTGTGCTCTCGTACGTCGTGTTTTGTCCACTCTGTGCCTTTGTCCTTACGTTCCCTGAAGGAGCAGACCCTACCTTAGCCTGTGGCCCCTTGAAACTCCGCAGCCCTGAGAGCTGCCCTCAAACACAACCCATCCCCGCGCTTCCGCTCCTTCCTGCTCCCGTTCCCGCCGTCATTCCCCCGCCCTCCACTAGGCGGCGCATTCCTTTGGTGCCTTTCCATCTTCATGACACCTAGCACAGTGCTTTGCACACACACCTGCTCAGTAAGCAGTGTTTACTTACTGAGTAAACACTTATGTAAAACCATTCACATTGTTATTAAGCTCAATAGTAATTTTTTTTTTAAAGACAGGGTCTCGCTATGTTGTCCAGGCTGTGCTCAAACTGCTGGGCTCAAGCGATCCTCCCACCTCAGCCTCCCGAGTAGCTGAAACTGCAGGCATGAGTGATATCTCAGAATTAAATATTCAGCATGTTTCAAATGTCGGATTTTATTTTTCATGACCTCACCTTGCAGAGTGACCACGTTCTGCTTTTTTAAACACGATTTTGTAAATATGCAAAGATAGGAAGTTAGGTTAGCCCTTATTTTAATATATGAGAAATTAATCTCTTAACAACCAACTTCATAAGGAATAGCAATTTCTGAACTGGATATATATAGATAACCTATTGTTTCCATTGTATTTTGTTTTTAGCTCTGGTTTGTGAGGCTGGCACTACTAGTGAAGTTGGGCCTTTTCCAGAATGCTGAGATGGAATTTGAACCCTTTGGAAATCTTGATCAGCCAGATCTTTATTACGAGTACTACCCACACGTGTACCCTGGGCGCAGGGGTAAGGCCATGGTATTTAATATTTGTACATTTGTATGTGTTTTGCTCTGGTTTGCTTTGATTTATACATAATTTGGTAGCCTCAGTTTTCCTTATTTATCCAGTCTCGAAAAAAATCAGACAAGTACCTAGCAACAAGCCTTGACTTACAGAATGCTCCCACTCAGATTTACCGAAACACTGACCTGGAGGTGCTCCCTGGTGTGTCTGTCTGTACATTTAGCAGCCGTGTATCTAGCACCTGCTGTGTCAAGGCAGCATGATGTGGTGCAGGGCCCGGGTGGTAGACGTCTGAGCTGTGCTCCACAGGGAAGAACCGTCCCATCTCGGGACCTGATGCACAGAGAAGCAGAGCAGTGAAACCAAACGTGTCCGTGCCATGTGGCACACGCCGCGACATTTTCCGTTCGTCTCTATTATTTAATTTATTTTAAAAATCTGGTTGTGACTCACCCTTCGGGTCACAGTCACCACCATGGTTTGGAAAACACTAGGCTATAGCATAGGGTAGTTCTAGGAGAGTGACAGGAAATCAACAGTTGGGAAGGGAGAAGACGGGTTACAGAGAGCCTTCTACAGCACTGGGAGCCTTGTGCAATGTGTGCTCTTGGTGGAGAACCTTATAAATATGTTTGAAGCCCCTCATATGTTCTTAAATAGAAAACAGTCCTGGCAGGATGTCTCATGAGGGCGGTGTAAGCAGCTGTTGAAAGCCCAGGCCCTGTTGTCAGGCATCCCCAGTTACATTCTGGTACCCCCACTGACTCGTGTAGCCTTGAGGGAGTTATCTGACCTCTCTGTGCCCCAGTGTCCTTGTCGGTAAAACAGATATGCCAGTCCTGCTTGCTTCCTGGATTGTCCCGAAGATTAAATGGTGTCAGTGTAAGTTGCTTGGAATAGTGGCTGCTCTCTAGTACCAGCTGTATTTGCCGGTTTTCTTACTCTCTTCTGAACGTATCAGTGACACAGGAGAGTCTCGCACTGCCGCGTTTTGCAGGCTCGATTGTCAGCATTTGTTGGCTGCGGCAGTGGAGCTACGGAGAATGGTCCTAGGTGTCAGGAAATGCAGAGCCTGATCGGAGGTAGAAAATATTTAAAACCAGCAGTACAAGAGATGCAAAGGCCTGATTAATAATAAAATAATAATTCCTATAGAAGGCTCAGAAAATTTAAATAAACATTCTATTTAACTTAGTTGATACTAGTAAGTAAATAGATGAACTAAAAAGGCTAGAAGTAAAAACAAATCTTTCATCTTCTTTGTGTGTTGTTT